ATTTGATACCGTAGCAATTCGGACTGGAAGCACTTATTCTTCCAGAAGCGGATACCCACCAGGGTAAATTGGATTTGGAAGGTGTAATAATTGTTGGGTAACTGTCTGTATTTCCATTTTATATTAAATAAAGACCGTTTTCTCCCAGAATTATTGTGTTATGGTATTGGATCTGGGACGTCGAGTACCAACCTACACCTATTGGAAACGGAGTGAACTGCTGGGGTAGAAAATCCATCTATATACCATTATAGATAACGTATCAAACTCTACAATGTACAATAGTTGACGTGAGTTACGACTTTTACATCGCGCTGAACCACTGATGGTTGTGAATTAATGAAAAGTAAATCCAGGTCTGCATATAACAACAACTGATTACGTAAATGAGCGAACTTTTTTTGTTGAGATTTGCCAGGTAGCAAATTTACAGACCCTAGATAAAGTAACCAAGTCTTCGGCAATTGTCCAGGAAAATATTTAGGGCGTAGAATGAGGTGCAGAAAAATCTTATCAAACTATGTGCAACTCCCATAAATGGGTTCCAAAAGCAACCCGTCAGAAGTTCCGGAGTGACCGAAAGTATGTTTGATACCACAAGGTGTTGTAAGAATGGAATGTCCTCAAACGTATGTTATCAGCTCATACTCTAGGACTTCCATGACCACACGCCAAAAGGAAGGAACGACCATGGTACAGTCATGATTACCATGGTCACAAAAGAAATACATAGGAGGGAGGAAAACGCTCTCCGACTTTATACATTTTTAATTATGACCTATTAGTAAGCAGCTCGAGGTTATGTTAGTGAGTGATTTCATAGAGTCTACTGCTCTAAAAAAACATGTACTTTATTTAAGATAGATTAACACTTGAATGATCATCAAATGAACTCTTACTAATGCAGTGAAGAAGCTAGAATGCCAGCATTTAACACTACGAATAAGGTCTGAAAGACAGCTATTCAACACTAGTTTTCAGGAGAACTGAACACGAGTGAAACAGTTAACTTCAATCCAGTGGTACAACCACACTGGGACCAAATACTATGCAAGATCATTGCACTACCAATAAGTACCATGGACGTTCTATATTAATACCTTGGCATTTACGTGACTACACAAGTAAATCGACACATTTTTACTGACTAGTTAACGAGACATTGGAAATCGAAGATCTTGCCAACTTATAGATGCCTGAGATCAATATTGCTAACTTCGCTGACCAGTTAAACTAGGCACCTACAAGTTCAGAATACTTGTCGAACCTAGTACCAGATGATGGTTCAGTGAGCATTCAGCTTATTTCTGGTTTAGTATTATCAAAACTCAAAACATTGGGCTCAGAAAAGTCACCATAATATGACAATGTAATTTTGGAACGGTATACGAAAGCCCTTATTTCACCGGTATATGAACTCTCTAGGCACTCACAGGAATCAAACCAACATCCGGCTGGATGGAGGCAATCTAGTCTCTCTCCAATCGCCAAAGGAATAGATAGAAAAGATCCAGCCTGCTAGAGATCAGTATCACTACTAGTAGTAATGGAAGGACTGGTGAGTGAGCGAATGAGGGAGTAGATAGGTAAGAATGTCTTCCATGGAGTCCAATGCGGATTTTAGAAAGGCAGGTCGTGCGCATCTAATATCCTCATAGCATAGGATATCTTGACAATCTGCTGCGACCTATGAACACTGGTTCGCATAATATTCCACGACTTCATGAAATTTTTCGACGCGTTACCCTTTGTAGTCCCAATCGCGAAGGTTTCGATTTCTGTCTTAGAACCACAGTCTGGACACGACTTAAAACTGAATGGGGGATTTAGTCTAGGATGACACGATTCTCCAGTTTATGTGAAGACAATTTGTTGCACTCAGACAATCATTGCTCTTTACTCCCTTCAAAGTATACGCGTGGCCACACCTTGAAGTTTACGATGTCACCTCACCACCTCTCCTTAAAAGAGACACAAGACGCGAAGATAATAGACTCACCGATGTAACTCACTGCATAGGCAGAGGCCAGTTCCCGCAGAACTAACTTACCAACTCGGCTTGAACAACTTGTCTGAAAATCTGACAACGGCTGCTGCTGAAGAAGTGTACCAGGTGCTGAGACAAACCACCAAGTGCCTTTATAGTAACGTAAGAGGACTAAGGGGTAAGCTGTTACAAATCAAGAATATGTGTTCCCAGATGGATCTGAGGATCATAATTCCATATGAAGCGTGGCTATTCCTCGACATTGCTGACGGCGAAGTGAGCTTGTAAGGCATGACATTCTTCTGAGGCGACTGGGTACACTAAACAGGAGGCGGAGTGGCTGTATACACAAACAGCCACTTGAAAGCCGAGTGGTTTTATGACACCCCGCTTTAAGAAGAGACTTGTCAGACACGAACTCACATACGGATTATCATCGCCCTCGTGGACCATCTGTGCTTGATGCATGTCTTCAGACATGCCAATTGTTATTATTTCCATCTCAACAGATCACTAATCTGATCGCTTAATCTGTCTCGCTCATTATCTCTGTTTACTGTCCTTTACTTACATTCCAGTCCTCTCCCACAATCCTCACTACCGATTAATCAACTAAATTATCCATTACATTACTGAGTTCCACAATCTTCTTATAATTAGCATCAGAACTTTCTCCTTATGATTCGCCAGATTGCAACTAACGGAGAAGACCTCACCAACCTAGAGATGGCCGATATCTTCAACACCCATTTTTCTGATCAATTAAACCAGGCGCCAACATGTTCAGAGTATTACGCCAACCCAATGCCAGCTGACGGCTTAGGGAACATCCGTATCACTCCTGACCTAATATTAAGGAAACTAAAATCCTTACGCCCAGGTAAGTCACCAGGTTGTGACAACATCCGCCCTATAGTCTTGCAACAGTGCGCTGAAGCCCTCTGTTCACCGTTATGCAACCTGTTCAGGCATTCACTGGAGTCACACCAATTCCCAGCGGAATGGAAACAAGCTACTCTCTCTCCAATTTTCAAAGGAGGAGATAGAAAAGACCCAGCCTGTTACAGACCAGTCGCACTAATACCTATATTATCAAAGGTTATGGAAGGGCTAGTGGACGAACAAATGAGGGAGTACATGGATAAGAATAAAATACTCCATGAAGCTCAACACGGGTTTCGGAAAGGCAGGTCGTGTGCATCTAATCGTCTCATTGCATGGGACAGTTGGACATCCTGCTTGGACCGTAAAATACCAGTGCACGTAGTATTTCTCGACTTCGCAAAAGCCTTTGACACAGTGCCCCACGCACGCCTAATCGAAAAGGTTGTGGAAATGGGCTTCACTGACCCACTCGTATCTTGGCTCAGAAACTACCTTGAGAATAGAAAGTTTCGCACCAAGGTAAACAGGGTGCACGCGAGTTGGACAGTATCCACTTCAGGAGTTTTCACAGCGGACCATCCTAGGCCCACTCCTCTTCCTGATATTCATTAACGACCTGCTAAGCTTAGTTAGCTCACCGGCACTGATCTACGCAGACGATGCGGAGATCTGGAGGTCCATTAGAAGGGAAGAGGATTCGACTGAGCTTCAAAAGGACCTTACATCCATTGAGAAATGGGCAGTGAAAAACGGTTTAAAACTCAACCAACCGAAGTGCCACGTCATGCATTTCCTGCCTCACATGACGCAAACCACCTACATTCTCAATGGAAGTCCGCTCCCTAATGTACGCCATATTAAACACGCCAAACCATTCCAATGTGAGCATCTTACCGATGCATCACTACCACTCCCCTCGAGGCAATCCTCAAAAGATTGCACATCAAAGAGCAAACACTCAGATTCGTGCACACTTTTTCTCATTGCGAGTCGTCGCAACTTGGAATGCTCTCCCAGCCGAGGTAGTTACAGCCCCCTCAGTGGACTGCTTTAAGAAGAGACTTGATGATCACGTACTCACATGCGGACTATCTTCTCCCTCTTGGAAAAGCTGTGCCTGATGCATATCTTGAGACCTGCTAGTTGTTACCATTGCCATCTCCTCAGATCACTCAATTAATCTATCTCGCCTATTCCTCTCCCTTGCTTACACTTCGGTCCTCTCTCACAATCTTCACTACCAATTAATAAACTAAATTCATCTATATATTACTCAGTTCTGAAATTTTACTCATATTATCATTTTAATTTACCCTTATTACCCTTACCACTCTCCACATTGCAACTAACTGATATCAGGTCTGGTAATGTGATAGCCGCTGGTATCCAAAAATCCTACTGCCCTGAAACAAACGTATTCATTCTATTCATGGGACATACAAACTCACAAACAACTGCCAACTGACTAGAATTAGACAGTCGAGTGGCTAGACCTCCATCCATTGGACATTACCGAACACCTGGAACCATACCGAAAGAACAAGAATCGAGCGCGAAGAAATCAAATTGGTTTACACTAGCTCGTGAAAAAGATATTGGATATTGGATATTGGATCTGCGGCCTGGTAACGTGATAGGTGCTAGTATCCAGAAATCCTACTGCTTTGAAACAAGTGTTTTCATTCAGATCACGAGGCATACAAACTTACAAAGCATTGATCAACTGACTAGAGTTATGAATTCGAGTGGCTAGACATCCATTCATTGGACACTACCAAATACTTGGAACCGTACTGAAAGCACAAGAACCGAGTTCAAATAAGTCGATTAGTTTATACTAGTTCGTGAAAAAGATGTTGGTGATATTGGAAATAGATTTCGTCGAGACCTCCGTTTCTCGTATCACGCATCTGGAATTCTACACCCGAACACACAATACTAACACTTTTTATTGATTCATTCATAACGAAATCGGTAAACACTTAAGGTCAACGATAAGAGGGGCGGTCATTCCAACTGCATGTCACGTAACGAAGTCGGTATCTCACTATAACAACTCGCAGTTTCGTTTGTCAGTCTGACTTGATCTCATGCTGGCTTTATTTCTTTTCGCTGTCTGTTGATTTCTATGTTGGATTTCAATGCATTCTGCGTTTTTTCTAAGACCTCGACTTACCTTTATTCACATTTTCTTTCCTCTTCAAGACAACTTAACACGCTACCTCACCGATACTCCCTGCACACAAGGTACCTCCTATTTAAACTCATACTAACCATAGTCGGAAGCTGCATTCGAGTTGTGCCTTTTTAGCACTCACTGTATTATTGTATATTGCTGTATCGAGTTACTTCAAATTGCACATTATGCAGTTGATACATGACTCATACGGTCGTTTAAATGCGTTTTATTACTAGTGGCTCCGTTTTAGGTGTATTTAACCTAGTGGACCAATTTTTTCTAACCTGCTGGAGTTATGGTGGACTGAGAGTTATGAATCTAACTTTAGAATGTTTATCATGTAATATATGTTTATGATATAGCTTTGTACTCAAGCCTAAAGACTTTCATTAAAACTTATTTAAAGTTGGTTTCCGAAAATTCTCGATGTGAAAAAAACATGCATGTACATAATCCTTAAACTGTAATTCTGTTAGCCCACTATCATAAACCTAGAAGCATTGGACGGTCTTCCCATCCTATTATTGCGCATCTACAACGCCTGTACGTGGGAATTAAACTTGAGACATTCGGTATCGTGCACGAAGGCCTAACCCCTTGACCATAGTTGGCATCCAATGGTGTTAATGTTTAACTTCAATCAAACCAGTATGGCGATGAGGATACAATAACTTCGAAACAAAATTATTAGTTATTTGCACGAAGGTTAAACTTCATAACTTCAGTTGTTCCTAAGTTAATCCTTTTACTTACAAACAGAACTTTCCTTCAAATGAGCTCTCCTACTGGATCTTCTAGAAACAATATGAGGTGACCATTATGTTATAATAATCGTAACCCACTCCAATTGATTCAATATTTTATACTTATTTTTCCTTCAGTTATATGTATTGCTTTAAAAGGTTTCTTTTTTAAGCATTTGGTCCCAATATCCCTTCTAATTATACAGAATGTTATTCCTTGTAACGTTTAAGTTATCCTGGGAAGTTTGTTACTTTGTTGTGATTGATATTTTACGCTTCCTATTAAACACATGCGGAAGAACTACTTTTAGAATAGATGTAAAATACGCGAAAAACGTCTTCAAAGTAGATGTTCTCAATGTGGCTGAAGATAAAAAAATACCGAATTTCAAAATTACTTTTTGCAGTTGGGGGTAAAAGTGTAGATTTGTCAAGTCTCAGATTAACTTGCCTCATATTGTGTGTTGCATAAAGCTTACTGACACTTTATATCTACTCGTTATGTAATCAATATTTTAATTGTTTTGGTAGTTGTTTATCTACAATGAACAACAAAGTCATATGTTTATTTGACGTTGATGGGACCCTTACGAAACCACGCAATATTATAACAGATCGTATGGCTCAATTTTTACTCAAATTATGCTCTAATATTCCTTTGGCTGTGGTCAGTGGTTCCGATTTCCAGAAAGTTGCTTCACAAATTGGACCATCTGGTAGGAATTTATGTTAGTTTCACTTATAACTTATGTATGAAGTTACAGAAAAATTTCTATATATCTTCTCGGAAAATGGTTTGGTAGTACACAGTTATGGTCAAAAAATTAAAAGCACAGTATGTAACTGAATGCTTTTTTACGCAATTTCAATTCAGAACATTGTTGAGCATGTTGGTGAAGATATTCTTCAACGCTTCATCAATTTTTCTCTTCAGTATATGTCAAACCTCGTACTTCCAAAAAAAAGAGGAAACTTTATTGAATTCAGAAATGGTTTGATAAATGTTTGTCCAGTTGGACGAAGCTGTAGTCAGGAAGAACGAGATGAGTTCTCTGAATATGATGCGGTAAGAATAATTTGTATTCCCCTAAAAATCAGATTGTCATCCAATATGTATTGTAAAGTATGTAGATTGTAGAGTAAGCATCTTATGCTTTGGAGAACGGCAGTATTCCGTTGCGTTTTATTGCTAAAGCTTTAAATCGTTAGAAAGCTCGTCACTAGACCATTCGTTTTAAAACGTTTTCTACATGGCGCGGCAGAAAAATGTGTTTCTGCAGGTGATCCATGAGTCTTAATTATACATAATGGTGCAACTCATAACCTGTAATAAATTAAGTCACCATCTGTCAGTCAGCCAGTCAACAACAACATAAGACTTCGTACGTATGTTATTCATTTCAAGTTGCCCTACCACATTAACACAGAGATGCAATTGTCACTTCGAATCCAATAGTAGTAGAGTTAGTGGAAGTGTTAACAGTAATCTGAGAGATTAGGGTTGGAAGATGTTATTCAAGAAGTAGAATCTAGTGAATTAAACTTAAAAGGAAAAAGTTTAGGAGTTGTGAGGACACAAAGAATGAATATACTTGCATCATTGCTAACGGTTTTAAACCATAACATTCCAGGTCTCTAACCATCGATTACTATCATCTCGCGGGCTCCAACCAGGTAGTCGACACCTACCAACGTAACAGGAACTAGTTGTCAGTGACTGTATGAATTTGTGTCATATTTTGGTTTGGCCGCCCCTAGCTTCCTTACAACCGATCCCTGCGCAGCAAAACAGACTACTCTACGAGACTATGCGAGCTTGTTCGAGATACGGTTTTCCCCCTTTAAATGTGAAATGTTGCTTCAAGATTGGGTTGCATCGGCACGTGAACTAGTAATAGAGAGTGAAGTAGTCGGACCTGTTGACCGCTTCACTTATCTCTAGTCTCATCAGTGCTGATGGCCTGGTGACTGACGAAATCTCAGCATGGACAAAGAAAGCTCGATTGGCTTTTGCCAACTTACATCAATAATAACATAGACGAGATATCCGTTTGCTAACCGAAGGACGTGTAGAATGCATCAGTTCTTTCGGCCCTAAATTACGGCTGCGAAACGTGGCCAATACTGGTAGAAGATATCCGTAGGTTACTGGTTTTCGGTCGTAGGTCTCTGCGAAACATTGCTCAGGTATCCTGGGACAACCGAGTGAACAATGCGGGTCCTAGGTAAGGGTGGCAGATCAATAGATGAAGTGTTGAAACCTCATCAGTTGAGTTGGTTGGGACAAGTGTTGTGTAGGCCTAACCACCGACTGCATCGTCCAGCTATGTTTTGCTACGCAGAGATAGGTTGGAAGGAACCTAGGGGCGGCCAAACCAAAATATGACACAAATTCATACAGTCACTGACAACTAGTTCCTGTTACGTTGGTAGGTGTCGACTACCTGGTTGGAGCCCGCGAGATGATAGTAATCGATGGTTAGAGACTCTGAATGTTATGGCTCAAAACCGTTTGCAATTGCGCCGGTGCATTCATTCTTTGTGTTCTCTCAAACCTTAAACTTTTTAATTCTTCATCACTTTATCCTTATCTTTTTAAGTTTATTTCACTAGATTCTACTTCCTGAATAACATCTTCCAACCCTAATCTCTCAGATTACTGTTAATACTTTTACTATCTCTACTACTATGGGATTTGAAGTGACAAATACATCTCTGTGCTAATGTGCTAGGTCAGCACGAAATGATTAACGTACGTACGAAGTTCTATATTGTTGTTGACTGACTGTGTGATTGACTGTTGTTGTATCTCAATGTGTGTCCGCGCCCTCACATCTGCATCGGATCCACCTTGGTTGTCGATGATGCTGCCCAGATATGTAAAGGTGTTAACGTCCTCCGAGGCATCTCCATCAAGCGTGATTTAGTTGACGCACGTTGTGTTGTATCGTAGAATCTTAATTTTCCCTTTATGTATGTTGAGACCTACTGCTGCTGAGGCTGCTGCTACACTGTTCGTCTTCTCCTGCATTTGTTGTTGTGTGTGAGATAGAAGAGCCAGGTCATCTGCGAAGTCCAGATCGTCCAGCTGCGTCCTAGCTGTCCACCGAATACCGTGCTTCCCTCCAGATGTCGACGTCTTCATAATTCAGTCGATCACCAGGAGAAAGAGAAAGGGTGAGAGTAAGCAACCTTGCCTGACACCGGTCTTCACCTCAAATGAGTTTGTCAGCTGACCTCTGTGCACGATTTCGCAGTTTAATCCATCATAAGAATTCCGTATGATGTTGACTATCTTCTCAGGCACGCTATAGTGTCGAAGAAGCCTCCTTAGTGTTGTCCTGTCCACTCTATCGAATGCTTTCTCGTAGTCGATGAAGTTGATGTAGAGTGGTGAGTTCCATTAAAGTGATTGTTCCACAATGATATGGATCTGATACCTGAATGAATTTTCATTAAGATATTTTTTTCTGGCTTTAATGCATTAAATTTAATTTGCCACACGTGTTACAGCACGAACAACCATTCTTTCAAATAGACTCATCATTTTGAATCGTCAGTTGGTACAAACTTTCTTCATCCCAGATAACCGGCCGCCACCGAAAAACTATTATTTAATTATGAAATTAAATTTTTAAAAATGGATATCGCTTGATATTTTTAGCGTTTATTAACATCAGATGAACCAATGTGGACAATATCTGTGCTACTACTAGTACAAGTTGTCTCAATAATTTGCTGCTTTTGTTCTAGTGTATGTATACAATCACCCTATCATTGATATGTCAGTGGAATAAATGTTTCTGATCGTTAAATTTTTTTATTGTAGAAACATAAAATTCGAGAAAATTTCGTCAAGAAAATGCGTTTGGAATTCCATTCTAGTCCCTTACAATTTGCTTTAGGTAAGATGATTCGTACTGTAGGCCAACTATAAGAAACTAATGTACCTTTTATTCAGTCAGTTACAACGTAGAACTTCGTACGTATGAACGAACGTACATACACCACATTAGCACAAAGATGCAATCGTCACTTCAAATCCCATAGTAGTAGAGATAGTAAAAGTATTAACAGTAATCTGAGAGATTAGGGTTGGAAGATGTTATTCAGGAAGTAGAATCTAGTGAAATAAACTTAAAAAGATAAGGATAAAGTGATGAAGAATTAAAAAGTTTAAGGTTTGAGAGAACACAAAGAATGAATGCACCGGCGCAATTGCAAACGGTTTTGAGCCATAACATTCAGAGTCTCTAACCATCGATTACTATCATCTCGCGGGCTCCAACCAGGTAGTCGACACCTACCAACGTAACAGGAACTAGTTGTCAGTGACTGTATGAATTTGTGTCATATTTTGGTTTGGCCGCCCCTAGGTTCCTTCCAACCTATCTCTGCGTAGCAAAACATAGCTGGACGATGCAGTCGGTGGTTAGGCCTACACAACACTTGTCCCAACCAACTCAACTGATGAGGTTTCAACACTTCATCTATTGATCTGCCACCCTTACCTAGGACCCGTATTCTAATAACAGCATTGCTCACTCGGTTGTCCCAGGATACCTGAGCAATGCTTTGGAGACACCAATGATCGAAAACCAGCTTTGGGTCGGCGACCTCATCCTGCAATAAACTAACTCGCTAAAATACGCTTACAAGAAATAATAATTAAAACCATTTTAACTCTGCCCTGTGAGTTATAAGGTCTTCATTTAGAAGAGTTATGACGTTTCATGATGAAAGCCGAGTTCCTTCAAAAGTTACAAGATGCACGCCACTTCTGACAACCACTGCCCTTCCACAGTGTGGGCAACCGGGAAGTAATATCCGCCCTCATTCCCGTGAAAGTACACGAGAGTAAATTGGTCACAATCAAATCCGTCCTACATTTCCAAAATACTTCTATCATCTCCACGACCAACCCTTCTTTCGATCGATTGTCACCCCGCGCTGCTGAAGCAAACGGTTTGAGCTCACGAAATATTATTCCTGGTCTCTTGAAACTCCGTACTCAATTACATATTGGGGCTTTTAATGTTTGGCCCTTATGTCAAATAGGGCAATAGGCTTCATTAGCTAGAACTCTAGAATCCCGGGCGGTCGATGTATGCTGCATCCCCGAAACGTGCATACAAGATCCGAGTAAAGTCTTCAATTTGATTTCACCTTGAGCAGATAGAAAAACAACATGGTTTACGCTTCGTGTATCTGTGAGCCCTGATGCTGCTTCCCGTGGCCTTGCTGGTATAGGTACATATTAGGTCCTAGAGCAGAACTAGCTCTCTTAGACTGGATCCCGATAGACAGCCGCTTATTCACTGTCCGACTAAACGGGTTGGTATGGTCACGGTAAGATAGGGGCACTCGCCGTTGCCTTTGTTGTCTCTACGTACGCTCCCACTGACTGTAGTTCAGATGAGGTAAATGATGAGTTTTAAGGAAACCTCTCTAACCTTCAAAAAGTTGGGGACTCTGATATTGTAATAATGGCTGGTGACTTTAACGCTCAGGTAGGTAGACCAAGAGAAAAGGAACGACCGGAACGTATCTTACAGTGTCACGGCTAATAGAGCAGATAATGGCGTCCGCCTGCAGCCGCTTTGCTCAAACAATCTCCTATTTATAGCAAACACTAACTGAAGTATAATAAAAAACACTTTTTGATCAGGCAACCCCCAAGATAGTGCCAACGCTCGACCCGACTAGACTACATCACTATCACCTACCGCCAGAGGGCTTCGATAGAGGACTGTCACTCGTTCTGGGGCACATATTTAGTTTAAGATCATGCCCTAGTGCGAGCGCGTATTTGCTTTAGGCTTACTGGACGTACGAAAGACATCGCAAGTAAACCTCTTAGGGCTCTACTTAATGATAATAAAGCTATGAATATATTTCAGGTGCATCTAGAAAAACAGTAATGCGGTCATGTAAGTGATTCCCATCTGGAGGCATCTTGGAATGATATCAAGAAGGCTGTGGAAGCAGCATTGATATCTGTTAGTAAAGTAAACCATGAGGCTAGGTAAAAGCCGTGGATCTCAGTAGCATCCACTGAACTGATATATGCTCGCAAACTCGTCCCACCTGGCTCTGAATATAATGAAGAGTGAAGTCAGCTTAGGCCCGGGCTGATAAAAAGCCTACGTGATGATCGTGAACAGTGGTGGGTGGTGAAAGCGAAAGCAATGAAAAAGGCAGCGGCGATAGGCAATAGTAGACAAATTTTCCGACTTATCAAGGAAACTGTTCTGTCTAATGAAGTTAACCGGTATTAGAAATCCATCTGTTAGCGAACTTATCTCAGGAAGAATGGTCTTCTTATCCATTCTCTATCCAGGAGATTGTATCGATGGGTAGAACACTTTAGGTGGCAGTTGAGTTGTCCTTCAGCCACGTTCCGGTCGTTCCTTTTCTCTTGGTCTACCTACCTGAGCGTTAAAGTCACCAGCCATTATTACAATATCAGAGTCCCCAACTTTTTGAAGGTTAGAGAGGTTTCCTTAAAACTCATCATTTACCTCATCTGAACTACAGTCAGTGGGAGCGTACGTAGAGACAACAAAGGCAACGGCGAGTGCCCCTATCTTACCGTGACCATACCAACCCGTTTAGTCGGACAGTGAATAAGCGGCTGTCTATCGGGATCCAGTCTAAGAGAGCTAGTTCTGCTCTAGGACCTAATATGTACCTATACCAGCAAGGCCACGGGAAGCAGCATCAGGGCGCTTAACTTTTTGGAGGAGGCCCGAAAGCTTTCCGTAAAACTCATCGTTTACATCGTCTGAACTGCAGTTAGTGGGGTCTTAGGCTGATATGACGAAGAGGCAACGACGAGTGTCCCTATCCTTCCGAGTCCTTACTGTTCCGTTTAGTCGGAAGGCGCTCGAGCGACTATCTACAGGGATCCAGTCTGGTAGAGATAGTTCTGCCCTAGGACTTAATGCTATACCTACACCAGCGAGATCCCGGGAAGCAGCATCAGGGCTACCGGATACACGAAGGGTAAATCGAGTTGCTTCTTTATTCTGACATCGTGAGGCCAAGTGAATGATGCTACTCGGATCCTGTATGCGTGTTTCCGAGACGCAGCATACATCGATGGCACGAGATTCTAATGTCCTAGCTAATGAAGCCTGTTGCCCTATTTGACACAATGTCCGTACATTAAATGCTCCAACATGTAGTCTAGAGCGGGTTTTCAAGAGACCAGGAATGATGTTTCGTGAACTTGTTTCATTTGCATTAGCGGTGCAGTGGGGTGAAGGATTGTGAGTAGAGTTAGTTGTGTAGAAAAGAGACGTATTAGGGGGTGTAGGGAGGATCTGATTTCGACCAATTTGGTCTCGCGTGCTGTTACAGGTGTGAGGTCGGTTGTCACTTCCCGGCTGCTCACACTATGGAAGGGCGTTTCTTGAGGGACCTGAAAAGGAAGGTGGATTAGTGACAGTCTTAGAGACCTGGGAGCGTGACCGCAGTCCCTGAGAGACAACTGCTTGAGGCAGGTCATGCACGGCCTTTTTATGAAAGGTTTTTTGACTGTTCGCTCTGCTCTTGAAGGCCCTTATTGGGCACCCTTACCGACGGAGACTGAAGTCCGTGAGGTAGGGTGAGCTGTGACATTTCTAGTGCCGACATTTTCCAACCCTTCTTTCCCTGTGAGAAGGCAGCATCGCTGCAGATGCTGGTTGTCCGAAGGAAGCACCTTACTGCTGTCACACCTTTCTATAGTCAGCAGTACGACTTCGCCCTCAGACCTTGGGTAGCTGCTTTTAGTCTCATTGTTCTCAAATCGACCTGTCTGGCATGGTAGAACCTTGAGGAACATATGTTCCAGCCAGTATAGCTCGGTTGGGTCATCACGATAGGCAAGCGCGACCACCACGTCAAGGTAAGAGCTACGGTCGGGACCCACACTGTGGAAGGGCAGTGGTTGTCAGAAGGGGCGTGCATCTTGTAACTTTCGAAGGAACTCGGCTTTCATCATGAAACGTCATAACTCTTCTAAATGAAGACCTTATAACTCACAGGGCAGAGTTAAAATGGTTTTAATTATTATTTCTTGTAAGCGAATTTTAGCGAGTTAGTTTATTGTTGGATGGGGTCGTCAAGCCCAACTCTCCTTCTTTATCCAGGTTTGGGACCAGCAGTAACCCTTGAAGCTCTGCAGGCGTAGTTAAACCATACGCATTTGGGACAAATGTTTGTAGTGCAAAGTTCCGCATTATATATATAATGGTGAAATATCTTTTAATTTTGGTCACTTTATTCACGGAGACTTTCAATTGTAAGGTAACGCTTATAGTTGGAGGCGCTGCGCGACGACTGAAGTCCTAAACTAACCATTATGCCCTGGGCTAAATTTTTGCTACTCCTGATACAAATATTACTGATGACATTCGAGTTCTCTTCTTGTATCATGAGTTGACTGAAGTTAAAACCATGGATCATTACTCATTGACTTAGTATTTTGAGGGTAGTATCCTTATCTCAACTCCCTGATATCCAAGGCATTCAAGCCCAGCTGTTGTCGTAGGTACTCATCGTTGACGAATCCCAGCTGTCTAATACTATCTAGTCTTTGACAAAGTTTATCGCTAAATTGACGTAGGTGCAAAATAATTTGGACTTGTATCCCCACGCTTGTTAGTTAAATGCTTGGTAATCAAACAAACCACTGATATCCCAATATCTTTCAGTTCTATATTACTTTGTTTTATTATAATAATCAACGTTTATAGTCATTCGATCTACATGTTTTGTTGAAATTTCTTTTACAGGAGGACAGATTAGTATTGATGTTTTTCCCAAAGGTTGGGATAAACGATATTGTTTACGATTTCTGAAGGACTACGATACTATACATTTCTTTGGTGACAAAACAGAAGAGGTAATAATATTCATATGCATGACTGTCATAACCAAACAAATTTGTATACAAATTATAATAACATTTTTTTGATCGTTTGTATTTGTACATTGTTTTCAGAGACACAGGTGAATATTTTTATGCTGAACTTATCCATATAAAATGTATGCATGCAAAAAACTGTAGGTCAAAGCAAACCAGAAATATAGTTGGGAAGATAATAATATCAATACTAATCATCACATCAAAAAATGAATTGATTATTAAAGAAATGTAATGAGGTTTGAGCATATTCGTTTTTATTTTAGAGGTTGATGACGAATAACGAATCAAGCAACTCAATAGTAACATCTCCAACTATTAAACTGAGTAACACGTTCTTAAGCTTTTTGAAGGGAATCATCTCCCCTCAAGATAACATATACACATCGTTGATAAATACCAACTAGCACGAGTTTGCGGTCTAAAAGGGCTTCTTGTCAAAATGACCTCCAGTAATCTTACGTTTATATTTGTTTCGTCCTGTTTTGTACACCATATTATTATTTTGTGCTCTTAATGATTTTATATTCTAAGGGTGGAAACGATTATGAAATATTCAATGATCCACGAATTATCGGACATACTGTTACATCACCGGAAGATACCGAAGCTCAACTCAAAACGTTATTCTCCGAATATTGTTAATCATGTACATAAGTAATAATACATACTTAACAATAAAATAGTAAAATCGCATATTCAATTTTTAAGTCTTATTTTCAAGACGAAATCTTATTTACTCTAGACAAAGTTCTGGTTATTCATCTTTTTTGCCTTTTACTTTTTCCGAAATATTGCTATTTTCGTTGATTAATTATTTCAGCTTATGTACAATGAAAGTATTTTGTATGACAATAGTTATTCCTGTTTAGTATTGTTTTGTTTTACCTTATTTTGTCTTTGTTAAGTCTATAAGGTTGCTTTTCCTGTGGAAACTGTATAACTTGGTTTGTATTTGTGATTAATTAATTAATTGATACTTTCACTTGTATACAGATTTCTGAAGCAAGTGGGATATTACTGGAGTATGCTGACACACTATAATCCCAATCTTGAACAATCAACACAGCCCAACTCATGAGTCAGTGACCATAAAGACTCAATCCGCCCGCAGCTTCCTTCCAATCTACTTCCGCACTTAAAAGCATCGTTCGCTGAGGTTGGGCTATTGTGTAGCTCTCGTAAGAAATATCTTAACCATTTCTTAGAACCCTATGCTGAGCTTCCCCGACCGTAGCTGCTACCTTGACGTGGTGGTCGCGCTTGCCTATCGTGATGACCCAACCGAGCTATACTGGCTGGAACATATGTTCCTCAAGGTTCTACCATGCCAGACAGGTCGATTTGAGAACAATGAGACTAAAAGCAGCTACCCAAGGTCTGAGGGCGAAGTCGTACTGCTGACTATAGAAAGGTGTGACAGCAGTAAGGTGCTTCCTTCGGACAACCAGCATCTGCAGCGATGCTGCCTTCTCACAAGGAAGGAAGGGTTAGAAAATATCGACCCTAAAAATGTCACACCTCCCCTACCTCACGGATTTCCGTCTCCTTGGGTATGGGCGCCCACTAAGGGCCTTTAAGAACGGAGCTAATCCTCAAAAAACGTTTCATAAAAAGGCCGTGTGTGACGGGCCTCAAGCAGTTGTCCCTTGGGCTTTGCGGTCACGCACCAACACTAATCCATCTTCCTTTTCAGGTCCCTCAAGAAACAACCTTCCACGGTGTGGGCAGCCGGGAAGTGACAACCGCCCTCATACCCGTAACAGCACGCGAGACCAAATTGTTCAAAATCGAATCCTTCCTACACCCCCTAGTACCTCTCTTATCTCCACGACTAACTCTTCTCACATTCATTCATCACAATGCACAGCTAATGCAGACGATACGAGTTCGCGAAACGTCGTTCCTGGTCTCCTTAAACCTCGCTCTAGACTACATGTTGGAGCATTTAATGTACGGACATTGTTTCAAATAGGGCAACAGGCTTCATTAGCTAGGAAACTCGTGCCATCGATGTATGCTACGTCTCGGAAATGCGCATACAGGATTCTAGTAAAGTCATTAACCTGATTCCACCTTGTCAAAACGAAGAAGCAGCTCGATTTACTCTTCGTGTATCCGGTAGCCCTGATGCTGCTTCCAGAGGTCTTGCTGGCGTAGGCATAGCATTGAGTCGTAGGGCAGAACAATCTCTCCTTGACTGGATCCCAATAGATAGTCGATTGTGCGCTGTCCGACTAAACGGGACAGTAAGGACTCGGAAAGATAGGGACAATCGCCGTTGCCTCTTCATCGTATCTGCCTATGCATCCACTGAATGCAGTTCAGACGAGGTTAAGGATGAGTTTTATAGAAAGCTCTCGGACCTCCTCCAAAAAGCTAGGCGCTCTGATATAGTAATAATGGCTGGTGACTTTAATGCTCAAGTAGGTAGACTAAGTGACAATGAAAGACACCTGGGTGAATGTTATGGTGTCGCGGCTCAGAGAACAGACAATGGTGACCGTCTGTTGCAAGCATGCTCAGACAACCGCCCATTCTTAGCGAACACCAACTTTAGGCATAAGGAAAAGCATCTGTTGACCTGGCGACCCCCGAAGTCGTCTGAACGTTGGACTCAACTAGATCACATCGCCATCAGCCACCGATGGAGGGGTTCGATAGAGGACTGTCGCTTGTTCTGGAGCACATGTCTAGATTCAGATCATGCCCTAGTGCGAGCGCGTATTTGTTTGAAGCTTACTGGACGTAGTAAAGACACCGTAAGAAAGCCTCCTAGGGTTTTACTTAATGATAATAAGGCGAAAAATATATTTCGGGAACAACTAGAAAGACAGTTAGGCGACCATTTAAGCGATTCCCATCCGGAAGCTGGATGGAATGATATCAAAAAGGCTGTGGAAACAGCAGTGATATCTGCTAGTGAGGTTGACCATAAGGCTAGAATGAAACCGTGGAACTCAGCAGCATCCACCGATCTGATGGATGCCCGAAAACTCATTACACCTGGCTCTGAACATGATGAAGAACGAAGTCAACTTAGGCGCAGACTTATAAAAAGCCTACGTAACGATCGCGAACAGTGGTGGGTGGCGAAAGCAAAAGCGATGGAAAAGGCAGCGGCGATCGGCAACAGTAGTCAACTTTTCCGACTTATCAAGGAAACTGGTATTAGGAATCCTAGTGTGAGTGAGACTATCTCAGAAAAGACGGGACTATTATTTATTCTCCATACAAGAGACTGGATCGATGGGCAGAACACTTTAGGGATCAGTTCAACTGGCCACGAGTCACTCTTCGATTACCCACGATCTCCAGTCATCCTGAATGGCAAATCGACCTAAGTCCCCTAGTCTTAATGACGCTGAGAAAGCGTTAGGAAATCTGAAACGAGGACGAGCTGCAGGTCCTGATAGACTGACCCCTGAGATATTTAAGGATGGTGGTCCAGCTTTATCAGCTAGGTTGACTGAGATCTTAGGTAGAATCTGGGAACTGGACTTAATCCCATCCGACTGGTCCCAATCACTGTTTGTCCCAATCTATAAGAAAGGAGAGAAGTCTTCTTGTGACAATCACAGAGGAATAAGTCTAACTAATATAGTATCTAAAATATTGGCCTCAATAATACTTCGACGCTTAACGAAAGCTCGTGAAAAGCAGACTCGAGAAAACCAGGCTGGTTTTCGACCTGGACGTGGCTGTATAGACCACGTCTTCACACTCAGACAGTTCTTGGAACATAGACACACATTTAGGCGTCCTACTATAGTTGTTTTCCTGGACCTTAAGGCGGCATTTGACTCTGTTGATCGTGAGGTTCTGTGGCAGTGTCTGTCATTGAAAGGTGTACCAAAGAAGTACATTAACCTCATACAAGCTCTCTACTCAAACACCACTGGTCGAGTGAGAGCTTATGGCGAACTGTCATCTGAATTCTCTACATCAAGTGGTGTCCGTCAGGGATGTCCACTTTCTCCATTCTTGTTTAATTTTATCATAGACATGCTCCTAGAAATAACCTTATCCTCGTCTGAATTTTCTGGAGTAGACCTTTTATCAGGTGGCTAGCTTATTGACTTAGAATATGCCGATGACGTAGTCCTACTTGGTGAGGACGCTGACAAAATGCAGAGTCTTCTGACTACCCCAAGCAACAATGCAAGCATGTTCGAGATGCGGTTTTCCCTTTCGAAATGCAAAATGTTGCTTCAAGATTGGGTTTCATCGGCACCTGAACTATTGATAGGGAGTGAAGTGGTCGAACGTGTAGACCGCTTCACTTATCTTGGGAGTCTCATCAGTGCTGATGGCCTGGTGACTGACGAAATCTCAGCTCGGATATAGAAGGCTCGATTGGCTTTTGCCAACCTGCGTCACTCATGGCGCAGGCGAGATATCCGTTTGCTGACTAAAGGACGAGTGTACTGACCAGTAGTTCGCTCCGTCTTACTTTATGGCTGTGAAACATGGCCAGTGAGAGTGGAAGATATTCGTAGATTACTGGTATTCAATCATAGGTATCGTCGAAGCATTGCTCGTATACCTTGGGACACCCGAGTGAGCAATGCTGTTATTAGGAAACGGGTACTAGAAAAGAATGGCAGATCGATAGATGGAGTAATGAAACTTCATCAGTTGAGGTGGTTGGGACATGTTTTGCGTATGCCTAACAACCGACTGCCTCGAAGAGCTTTGTTTTTTAGTGTGGGAATAGGTTGGAAGAAAGTTAGGGGCGGCCAAACCAAAACATGGCAGAAATCCATGAAGTCATTGACTAGTGGACTTAGCTATGTCGGCAGGTGTCGACTAGCTGGTTGGGGTCCGCGAGATGATAATAATCGATGGCTAGAGACCTTTAATGACATTGCTCAAAATCGTTCGCAATGGCGCCGGTACATTTATTCTTTGTGTTCTCTCAAATCCTAATCTTCTGGATTGTTCAACACCTCTAGTTTTTACTTTCTAAACTTTTCTCATTGAATCATACTTCGTGAATAATATCTTCTAATTCTAACCTGTCCGATTACTTCTAATACCTTTACTACCTCTTCTACTATTGGATTTGAATTGACGATTACTTCTCTGTGCTGATGTGGTATGGCGACATGAACTGATGTACTTACGTACGAAGTTCTACGTTGCAACTGACTGATGCTGAGCTTCAATGCTTCTCACTCAATCGTTTCGTGAAACGCCAGCAATGTTTTGAAGATACCTACAATCAAAAATCTATGGCTTACACATGCCTTCTATTTTTATAGACTGTGTTTTACTGCCATAAATTAAGACAGAACTGGCTACTACTCATTATGCTCGTCCTCTATTTGATAAACTAACATCTCTCTTTTTGCACAGCTGATAAAGCCAGTCGAGCTTTTTGATAGTTTGACGAGATTTCGTTAGACCACAACGCTTCAAGGATGATGAAGTTTTTGAGATGAGTGAAGTGGTAGACACGTGTAATTATTCCACTTCCTATTATTTGTCCAGCGGCAAGCACAAACTGGTTTCGAAGCAACATTTTTCATTCAGAGATAGACAAACGCATGCTTGTATAATTTCTGAATGCAACCAAAAGACTTCACATTTTCTAGAAATAATCAAACATAACGATTTTCCTGGGAGTAGGGCGAAAAACAAGCATATTAAAAGATTATCAGACCATTAGAAGAAATGCGTCGTTGTCCATTGTGAGTTTACAGAAAGCTTAATGAGGAGAATTTCAACGGGTTAAAAAAATAAGTAGTAGAGATATTGCGCAGAAAATTAAATATGTAGAGGTCCTAAGATAGTCCCAGAAGTTTTAGTCAGTCGTTTCTGAATTGATAAAAAGTGATGGAATACAGTCATTAAAAGTTCATTATCAATTGATGTAAGTGATTTTCAAAAATCTCTTAATTCTCAGTAATATGAGTTGCTATTTATGAAAAATTCGAATCCAATTATTAATGATACAGTTCTTATAACAAAAAAAGAAGTCCGAAAAATGTGTCTGGCAATCTGACTTTTTGATGTCACTTGGATGAATCCCTTTTAAAATACCTGCTCATTGACTTTAAAAATTTAGTAGTTTCATATTACTTAGTAACTAGAAAATAACACTTCTCAACTACTCAATAGTCTATTATTTCTAACTTTGACTGAAGTAAACTTGACTTGAGTTGAAGCATCGTAACATCAGATAAAATACTCCAGAGTTCTTTCTCGCTTTTACTAATAATAAAATGCTCAAGCTCGATGATATAATTGAGACAATCTTACGCTTATATTGAACACTATTACCTGAGTTTAATTTTGATTTGTTTACCTATCCAGTATGATTAGAAACTTTCATATGACAGATTAGTGAAATACTGAACTTTTCGAACAAACATCCTTGGGGAACTGATGACATTTACATCAAGCCCAGATAAAGGAGGGTTGGCGACCCCATCGCGTAGAGAATTTACTCACTAAGAAAACGCTGACCAAAAAAATAAACCATTTAAACTCTGCCGTGAAGTAAGAAGGTCTTCATTCAGAAGAGTTATGACGTCTCATGATGAAAGCCGAGTTCCTTCGGAATTCGCGATGCCGATGCTCCTTCTCACAACCAGAGCAACCATTGATTTCGGTACATGGAATGTTCGAACAATGTGGGAGACCGGAAGACTGTTTCAAATTGTTTCAGATATGAAAAGATACAACCTGGAAGTTCTGGGGATCAGTGAAACGCATTCGACACAAGTTGGACAACTAGGACTAGCTTCAAGAGAGTTGCTGTTATAATCTGACCTCACACACACAAGGGTGTGCACTTATACTGTCCCAACAAGCACCAAAGGCACTCACTAATAGGAGGGGAACCTCATGGTCCCAGGATCATCAAAGCATCCTCAAAAACAAAGAAATCGGGCATTATAATGAACGTCATCCAATGCTATGCACCAACCAACGACTACAATGAAGACATTAGAGATCAATTCTAGGGGGTTGCAGTCGACCGTCGACAGGTGCTTATTAAAGAATTCGACCATTCCGATGGAGACCTAGATGCCAAGGTTGGCATGAACAACACTGGACATCAAAACATGATGGGACGACATGGAGTGGGAGAAAGGAACAAAGATGGTGAGAGATTTGCGAACCTATGGCCTTCAACGAACCGGTTATCTGTGGCACAATATTACCACACAAACGCATACACAAAGCTACATGGATTTCACCGGATCACACTACTCAGAACCAAATCGACCATATCGGTATCAATAAAACGTGAGAACCAAGAGAGGGGCTGATGTAGCCTCAGAACACCACTTGTTGGTCGCCAAAATGAAACTGAAACTCAATTAGCACTGGACAACAGGGCGGACAACATCACAAAAGTTTAATACGGCCGTTCTTCGGGATACTGCAAAGCTTAACGAATTCAAGATAGTCCTCAGCAATAGGTCCCAGACTTTTCACGATCTACTCAATGGAAAGGAAACTACCATGGAGAACAATTGGAAAGGGATCAAGGAGGCAATTACTTCAACATGTCAGGAGGTTCTGAGCCACAAGAAGTACTATCACAAGGGATGGATCCCTGTTAGTACTCTGGATAAGATTCAAGAAAGGAGGAACAAGAGAGCAGCAATCAACGTCAGCCGAACAAGAGCAGAGACAGTTACCGCACAAGCTGCATACACAGAAGTAAACAGGGAAGTGAAGAAGAGCATCAGAGCTGACCAACGAAAATATGTGGAAGATCTAGCAATGACGGCGAAAAAGGCTGCAAGAGAAGGAAACTCGAGACAATTGTACGACGCAACAAAGAGGCTCACTGGAAACTATCGTAAACCAGAAAGACCAGTGAAAAGCAAGGAAGGCAAAGTAATCAGCAGCATTGAAGAACAGAGAAGTAGGTGGCTAGAGCACTTTAAGGAACTCCTGAATCGACCAGCCCCACTGAACCCACCCAACATCGAAGCAGCATCCACGAACCTCCCAATCGATATTGGCCCACCAACAATTGAAGAGATTAGCATGGTCATCAGATAAATTAAGAGCGGCAAAGTGACGGGACTAGACAGCAATGAGAGCAGATGTGGCAGCAACTGCAAAAATATTCCACATTCTCTCCAACAAGATTTGGGATGAAGAACAAGTATCAATAGACTGGGAAGAAGGACACCTCATCAAGATAATAAGGAGAGACGATCTCATCGAATGTGAGAACTACAGAGGCATCACTCTTCTCTCAATATCAGGCAAAGTCTTCAATAGGGTGTTGTTAAACAGAATGAAACATTGAGTAGACACCTAACTTCGAGATCAACAGGGTCGATGGTGTGCCGACCAAATTGCAACATTACGGATCATTTTGGAACAATCAATTGAATGGAATTCACCACTCTACATCAACTTCATTGACTGCGAGAAAGCATTTAAATGCGTGGGCATGACATCACACGGAATTCTTAAGATCGATTAAACTGTTAAATCGTACACCGAGGACAGCTGACAGATTCGTTTGAGGTGAAAACCAGTGTCAGGCAAGGTTGCTTGCTCTTACCCTTTCTCTTTCTCCTGGTGATCGACTGGATTATGAAGACGTCAACATCTTGAGGGAGGCGCGGTATACACTGGACAGCCAGAATGCAGCTGGGTGATCTGGCTCTTCTACCGCACATGCAACAACAAATGCAAGAGAAGACGACCAGTGTAGCAGCAGCAGGTCTCAACATACATAAAGGGAAAAGAAAGATTATTCGATACAACACATGCACCAACCAAATCACTTTTGATGGAGATGCCTTGAAGGACGTAAATCCTCTTCATATCTGGGCAGCATCATTGACTAGCAAGGTGGGTCTGAGACAGATGTGAAGACGCGCATCTCCAAAGAAAAGGCAGTATTCCTACAACTAAGGAAATTCTGTAGCTCAAGATCACCACCAACCAACACCAAAGTCACAATTTTCAATACAATTGTCAAGACAGTTCTACTGGATTGGGCGGAAACTTGGAAAACTGCCAAAGCCATCATCCAGAGGATATAAGTATTTATTAACAGTTGTCTACGCAAAATACTTCGGATTCATCGGCCAGACAGCATCAGCAACAACCTACTTTAGGAGAGAACAAACCAGATTCCAGCGGAGGAGGGAATCAGGAAGAAGCGGTGGAAGTGGATGGGACACATTGAGGAAAGCACCGAACTGCGTCACAAGACGAGCTCTCACTTGGAACCCTCAGGGTCAAAGGAAAAGAGGAAGGCTAAGGGACACATTATGTCCAGAAATGGAGACAGACAGAATAATGAACGAGAATTGGACAGAATTGAAAAGGGAGGCCCAGGATAGAGTAGGTTAGAGAATAATGGCCAGTGGCCTATGCTCCATTTGGATTGACTGGCGTAAGTAAGTTGGCGTTAAGCTACTATCAAAAGTTGCATCTGAAAGTTGAACTGCTATCATCAGTTAATTAGTAAGTTATGAATGGTTAAGCAAGAAATAAAGCGTGATAAGTCCTAAGACTTGTGGATCCTTAGCGTTTTTCACTAGAAAGTTATTTAATACATACTGTATATGATCACTAATAATGCTACTTTGATCAATCTTACTTGAACCCATGGTCTAGGAGTCATTCCATTAGGTATTTTGGTTATATACTTTTCTTGCACTTGACCACGTTGAATAAATTTGAATTTTCCTTGTATGGGACAATTAATTGGAGTTGGTGGGTCTTGAACAAAGTATTCATATGTCCACTCTATGTAATTTAATGTAAATGAACTCCAATGACATGCTTCACGATATAAACGTTGCATATAACTTGTACCCATTGACTGACGTTCACGATGTAATAATGGAAACGGGCGACCCATACGAAAGCGTATTATGTTATGATGTCTTGGCATGAAATCCATACACATAAAATCTGTTTCACTTGCAAAAGAAAAAATGTCTATTACAAAATAACGAAAGTTCTATTTATTTCAATGATTATTAGAAGCATTTCTTGTGAATATGCATTCGGCAGGTTTACGAAGGTAGTTGATATCAATTCATAATAGGCCAATTTCTTAAAACCATAATTTGTAGACGGTATACGTTGCATATTCACCTCGTTTGGAATACAACCGGTAACTAGGGAGCGTTGGACTGTCTTTTCGTCTTAGTGTCGGACTCTTGGACAGTGCGAATTGAAAAGGGAGGCCCAGGATAGAGTAGGTTAGAGAAAAATGGTCGGCGGTATATGTCAGTTATTATCGTGGCTTATGTGTTCGCCACGTTATCTGGTCTGATATGTCCTTACACTGTCTTTGTTTTAAATGACCTACCAATTGAAGGACAATATTATCTTATTACATTGATGTGACTTATAGCTTTATTCATTTCCATAAGACACGCTATATTGGTCGGTATGTTTGCTGGTTTCACTTGGTAAGTGTAATTTCCTTATTTATTGAACTAATCTAAATTTTTTTGTGTTTAGAAGCAGATAAATTTTAAAGCTAAATCGGTCTTGTTTTGACTATAGCTATCCCATAGACTCTGTACTTGCCAATACTGCATTCGAAGTCATAAAACTGTATCTGTAGGACGAATTCAATCCCACAGCCTATGCTGCAGTGGTAGGGGGTGAGAACAGGCGTAAGTGAGTAAGTATCATCTACTTAATTCTCCGTTTATTTGAAGATGGATTCACACAAAGTATTATATGTTGGAACATAAATACAGATTATTAACTTTTATTTGGATTTTCAATACAATTTTATACAATGATAGATGAAACGTGATAGAAAATCAAAGAAATCATGAAGATAAATATAAATACGTATAGCCAGTATGATACATTTCAAATAAATATGCGTGCATGGTTTACGATTATATACACATATCGTTCCACTGCAACGTTTAGAGCTGTCCTTTCGAACTTATGCGCAGTAACAGACAGTATACATAGCTGAATTGTAGGTAAACTGCGGTTTAAAGGAGACGATTTTTTAAGTAAAAGGATTTGGAAATAATCACTAACAGCAATCTGTAGGAGGGATTATAGCAACCTTCCATTTATATTAAAATGACTAATTTTATTGTATTATACTGTCGTTCTTGACATAATACTTACCAATATTTCGGAATAAACACTATCAATTTTTGGAAATTTATCAGTGTCTTGAGGATTGCCAGTCTGATTAACATCTTTTACGATATCAAGACTAATGGACTGCTAACAATAATACTTTTATGCAATAATCAATTAGATTAGTTACTTTCTATTCTTTCCTGTCTTTGTCGTAATAAGATTTTCCGAGTGTTCAGGCTTTCATATTTTTAACTAAGGTTAAACATTTTGTCAGCTTTAATAAATTGTACATTAATTTATAGTGACAACTAATGAATGCATCAAACGAACAAATATAAATCGGCCTAATTTCTCAAATATCAAATAATGAGTAGTGTGAATTTCTATCATAAATGTACTATTAACTAATTCGTACAGTTCCTTCCGCATATTTCATCGCTCATTCATGAATTAAATGTTTTTGAAATTTTTAGATCCATATTTTCACATCTTAAATCGCAAATAATCTTAGAGGACTACTGAAAACCCGGAAGTAGTACACAGCCTATCGTAACGCTTGCTTGAAAAATTCCCGGCTGATTCCTATTGCTTAGTATTCTCTGACCACAATACACTGGACAAGTTCCAAAGAATCAAAACACGGTGGAACAGGAAAAGATTATATTCCAAATAGCAAGGTTAAATGGAAAATAAGAAGCCAAAGGTGATGGCGAAGGCAAAAATAGATACAACGTTAGTTTATTTATAGCATTTACATGAGAAGCTTCTGGATAGAAATTCACGTGATCGACTGGATTAGATTTAGCCAATCAGCATGCAGCTAACAGTAAGAGAATTTTCTACCCTGTTCTCCAAGAATCGATCAGGCGCTGATTGGATAGGAAATTAGCCTATCAGCGCGCAGCAACGTAGTCATGCTTTAATTCTATCTACGTCCCACTAACACAGCCATTTTCTAATAGTTGGGGAATCATCACTAATGCACATCAGCGATCCAACAACCTACAAAAAACCCACATATTATATTAAAATGATCCCTCTGTTATAATTACAAGAGGGCTTTTTTCATTTTATATGGACTGGGACTATTAGTGATTCAGACACGACAGATCGGATTAAATCCAGTTCCCATATTCTACCTAAGATCTCAGTCAATTTCAAAACTAAAACCCTTATAAATTTCAGGTGTATATTCTATCAAAAGCTGCAGCTTTTCGTTGCTTTACAGTGTCTATGGCCTTTTCATCCTCATTAAAAGTCGGAGTACTTACATCAACTTGCTATACAGGTTGACTAGAGAATGTGGTTAAGCAGAGAGTGGGTGTAGGCCAGTAGAACTGCCCACTAAAATGTTCAGCCAAAGGATCCAATCACAGTGAATTGAAATGAATAATAAGACCATCCGAAATAATCTAACTAAAAGTCGGATTCCTAATTCCGGTATTGATTATAAGTTCGAATAGCTGTCGATTGTTACGTAGTATTCGTCAGCTTTAAGGCGGCATTTGATTCTGTCAGTCGTGAGGTTCTATGGCATGGTGTTGGGGATGTTAGATCCCCAAATCTAACTTGTTAAATGCCTTATTTTGGATTTCACGTTTGCTAGCATGGGCTGATCAGTTGACCTAGAGATCTCATTTCCCACCAGGAAAGTCCATGGCTGTGATTGAATGCTGTGTATTTTAGTGTGCCATATTTGTAACTGTCCCAAGGACGTTTCTATGATGTATAAATAAACGAGAGTTTTGTAACGGAGTCAAAATTACTATGTATGATGTTGCTAACTTGTTCTGTTTTCTCTCTGTTTCAGGGCGATCAAACACAAACGCTTTGGAAGCTGAAGAACAAGCCCTGAGTGCTCTAAACTTACAGGATGACTCATAAGACATTGGTACACTACCCACCCTATTCTTGTAAAAAACCAGCGTATTTGATTTTCAAATATAAGAGTGCCGTGACAACAACCTCGTGTTCTCTCTTGGTGTGAGGTGTTGAACTAACCTTGTGTGTTGTGATTTTAGATCCTCTCTGCCCTTCAGTGACTGCTGATTACGCGTGTTACAACTGGTGGTGCCAACCAGAGCAACAAATAGCATTAGCCCGCGTCAGCCACTACTTTTGGAAAATTCGTCAGATTATGCTGCTTGGAAATTCAGGATGGAAGCATATCTGCAACAAGTGCCGGTGTCAGAACATATTAATTACCTAATATCCTTCCTGAGCGATGAGGCGGTAAAGAAAGTGGCCGCATATGGCTTCTCAACGGCCGATTCTTTACCCCACAACTGGAAGATATTGGACGAATGTTTTTCCCTATCTGTCGATAAACAGCAAATGACTATGCAGTTTTTGTCTCGCCACCAGAAACCAGGATAAAGCCCGATAGAATACCTGTTAGTTATTTCCATAACTATTTGTAGTTATGCCATAACTAACCAATCAGATTGGTTAAGCGCTCACCATGCTATATAGTCTGACTGGTCTGTAAACTTTCTCTGTTGTGAATGCCCTATAGATCGAAGGATGTTGTTATTTTATTTATATTGCTGTGACTCATGTTTTTATTCATTTTCTAAAGACACGCTATACTGGTTAGTACGGTTGCTCATTTTACTTGATAATTGTAATTTCCTTATTTATTGTACTAATTTAATCGTTCTTTTTTTTGTTTAGAAACAGATAAAGTTTAAAACCAAGTTTTTATTGTTCTGATTTTATTGTCGACTCCGTGAGCACCAGTATTTGCGTTTACGGTTTAGAATTACATCTGTAGGCCAAATTAAATCCTACAATACCTTGACGCTTCACAACTAATTGCAGTGCAGGCGTTTCCTGATTTGGATGCCCCGGGACGGGACGAATTGGTACGCTCCCGTTGTGTTGAATGGCTGGCACATAGACAATTACGAGAACACCTACTTCGAATACCACCGGCCAATACCGCCGAATTGAAGAGTACGGCATTCCGATTTATTACGGCGGAAAAAATGTCGAACCCATCAGAAGCCCATCGAAATTCTGTCATGACGGTGGAAACCAGTCATTTTGATTGTTCCTCGAGGGCAGCTTCTGTTGCACAGACTGAATATGTCTATTGCGGGAGGTTTGGAAGAAACGCACGGAGATGCGGACACAACCGATTCCGTAATCCAGGTGAGCCATGCCGTTACTATTTATCTTCTTGTCATGTTAATCAAATTGGCCTTACAACCCTAAAAGTTATAGTGCAAGGAGTTGTGACTGAAATACTTTTAGATACTGAAGCGTCCGTATCTCTCATCAAGGAGGAGTTCCTAAAGAGACTGAACCATAAGACCCAGCAAAAACGATGCTCGTCTGCGTTAAAAACAGCCGGTGGGGAACCCCTTAAAGTGTGTTATAAGACACCATTAGACTTAACATTGGGGAAGTGTTCGTTTCGTCAAGAGATTTTAGTTTGCCCTACATTAACCTGGGACATGATATTGGGCGTAGATTTTATGTTAAAACACCAAGTTTCTAAATTTATGGATAGGGCAAAAGCGAAAATCAGCAATGCTATGGTACACCTACATCAGTTTCCAGGGACGACTAAGCCTGTATCTCACGTTGGAATTTCAGAGTTGGTACGTCAAGTTGAAAGCAACCAAAAGGTACAGGAAGTTGATAGTCAGGCAACGGTGGCTGTGCTCCGACAGTTTAGTTCTGTCTTCGAGGAAAGCATTTCTAGGAATCGTATGAATACAGTAAACACCTTATTTTTACAGGGGACCATATGCCCATACAACTCCGCAAGCAGAACCTTAGGGGCTACTGCCGGTCCCAAACCCGGATAAAGGAGGAGGGTTGGACATGGGGTCGGCG